TTTTCGTTAGCAGTAACTTAATACTGCTTTCTTTCTGGAAGTAAAAGTATCTAGACTGCAGCTGCAGGGTGTGTGTGCAGCGACAGGACAGCTTCCCAAAAGTGAAACCATAACATCTCCATCACCCCTGGTGGCTGGCTGATGCTCTTGATTTGATATGTTCTACGAGTCGAGCACGTATTTTAAACCTCAATATCGATTAATATCCGATTCATTGTGCAGCCCTAATTTCATATCAGTTCATGTTCATACATACACACCCTGTTAACTTTATGTAAATGTCATCCTTTTGTCAGCCTATTTATGAACATTTGCAGCGCCCAGCAGAAACTTGATGATCAGTCATCAACTTGATAAGTAGAGTTGAAAGTAAATCAGGTCAGTAGAATGACAGACTCCTCCATGAATCAATCATAGATGAAATATAAAAAGGAATGCTCTCGTCACTCTCGGCCTTTCTGAAGCTTGAGACAAATAAAATATTCATAATGATGTAGAATAAATGTACCTTGTGGAGTATTTTATAGTAGTTTTGGGTAAAATAGACGTTTTTGTTGCGACAGCTGAAAATCCTCCGCCACGCTCTTCACCAGTCATGCTCCATTTCATCCCTGATTCATACTCCCTGTTCTCCCCCTCCCCCTCCCCGTCAGTCCTTCACTGAGACGCAGAAGAAGAGGCTGTTGTCATGGAAACAACAGGTCCAGAGGCTGTTCCGGTCCATTCCGAGGAAAACCATCCTTGACATAGCAGGGTACCGACCGCAGAGGAGGTAATCGCATGGGCGTACAGTGGCTTTCGTTTTCTGGGTTTCATTGTCTGCCATGAAAACCCTTCAAATCAAAGTCACTTTACATGAAGTTCACTGATTCACCTTATTATTAAATAATGAATGCAGATAAACGGAGAGGGATTAATTCATTAGGTTTTAGACAAACAGTGATTCTTCTTTATTCCTTAGCTGGTTATGCATAGATTAAATTATCAACAGGATAACAAGATGACATTAATTTAAAACTTTTGTCTTTCTCCTCCCAGGAGTCACAATAAGTACTAATGTTGGATGATATATTGTCCCAGAAATAAATTCAATTAATTATATTAATGTCATTTTAGGACCATTTTATGCCACAAATACTCACAATAATGCAAGTACTTCTACTTAAAATGCAGGTGAAATGACTTTAACCCTTTTAAGATTTCATTCTCAGTAATATTGTACCCCTATTTAACAATGTATGCCAAGAAATTTACAAAAATGCTCCTTCTTGGCCTCACTGTTAATTATTTTTAACCCTTAACAAGTGCATACCTGCTCCTTTGTTAACACAGTTCCTGTGAACAGGAATCTCCACCAGTACTTGCTTGTGTCTCACCTTCTGTCTCATCTTGCTGCAGCCGTTTCGGTCAGTCCAACTCTCTCCCCACTGCTGGCTGTGTTGGGGGCAGTGTGTCGGTCAGGAGGAGCCTTCGCCAGTTCCAGATGCCCTCCAGGAGCTTGCCGGGTGCCAGACTGGGCCCTCTGGGCAGCGGGGGGCTGCTGGGATCCACACCTCGCAGCTCCAGCAGCACACCCACCGGTCCCAAGCAAGGGAGACAGGTGAGTCAAACCAACAGAACCTTTAAACCAGCAAGGAGAGAGCAAACCAGTAAGGATGTCTGTTAAGTATGTGATGAGACTTATAGAGAGTTTTACTATTTATTTACATATTTTAGTATATGTGAAGCTAAAAATGAAAATATACAATATTGTTGTTGGTGTAAGGAAAAATCCAAGTGTAGATCATGAAAAAATATTTTATATTTCTAGTTATACTACAGCAGTTTTCCTCAATATATCACCTTTCTTACAGTATTCATATCATATTGCCAGATTTTGGCCGAT